TTATTTTAATTGAATTAATTTGCTCTGTTAGAGGGGGTCGTGCCAGGATCTCGATTTCGGGGGGGGGGGGGGTCGTACCTCTGCGACCACGTACTCGACACGATTTTCACCCTGCCCCCAGGAGTATGACCCCCCATGAGCCACCTTGACAAATGCCTGTCGAAGATTTCCTCAACCGATATTCACCCTGGCTGCAACTAGCCACTGTTCGCTGTGAAAATGCCGCACCTCTTGCCTCTGTGCCGCTTAGCTACTGCTCCCAGTGGTGTATATATTTCTCCCCGCGGTTCGTCCTAATCACTCCCTTTGAGCTCCCATTCCCTCGCAAGGAACACTAGAACGCGCCGCATTGAACGACTCAAGGACGCCGTGCCCTCGACATCTGACCTCATCCAGCATGGATCGTAGTTTTATAGGTCCTCAAACAGGCTGCTGCTCTGTTCACTGCTGATGCTGTCGTGGAGAGCAAACCCGTCAAGATCCTACGACACTCTATCTGACCAATTCGTTGGTCTTCCCTTGTATGCACTACAAGGCAATTCTGTGCATATCCTCCTACATATCTTATCCTTCGCGTACACCGCGAGGCCCGTAGCCTCCATATAAGCAGCCAACGAGGTAAGAATCTCCATTCCCGATTGCAGCTATTTCCACCTGAATCGCCGAACGCTCACCGTCACCATGTCAGCAGCACCGAAGAGGTTGGCAGACTCTTCCTCTCTCGACTTCGTCTCGTCATCTAATTTTGAAGGTGTGCGCGTGTGGTGCCTGAGAAAGACTTAAATTCACCGTGGAATCAGGAAAGGGAGAAAATAGCACAGCTTCTCAAGAAAGAAAGGGCGACGAGCGCTCATGTCCTTGAGGGGGGGGGGGTGAAATCACAGCAGAGCCAATGCTAGGTGACACTAGGACTAAGCCCAGGAGAGGGGAAGAGAAACGAGAAAGGTAAAGTGACGCTATTTTGGGTGCATTGTCGCGTGCCCACGTGCGCTGATCTAGCAGCGTCAAGGAAACGTTTTAGCGATCAGGCGATTTGGCGAGTAGATGAGTAGACGGAAAGGCGATTGCTCAGTGGACGGAGCAAATCAACCAATACTTAACCATATTTATGCCCTGGTCGCTTAATCTATTAGGTCGGTCCATAAGTCTTGCAACAAACTACATTTAATGCTATAGAATTTTAGGGAGAACTCCTGAAAATCCGCAACATATTTCCTGACGTAGCATCAACCTTTGCAATTTCAGCCAACGGTCCAGCTCGTTGTCTCGCTACTTATTATGGATATTACACCGATTTCGCGAGAGGGCTCTCGGTGCCCTTAATTTTTACGAGTACTGCTTGGAATGTTCCGCAAGTCATGCTAGACCAAGGATTGGCCAGAAGATAGGCGAGGGCACGCTCTCTCAAACCACAGTGCAACGGCGCTTCACTCTGCTCAGCGTTGACTTTTTTTATTTGAAAATAATCCACACTCCAACCACCCTGTGACTGACAATCACGATGCTCTATCTGACGCTGTTGAAAAGGGATCTGGATAGAGTATCGATCATTTGCTAGAGCGATTCCGATGCGACAAGGAGACAGCACTGTGGCATCTCCAAAGACTTGTGAAGATCCGAAAATATAGAGTTTGGTCACCACATACCTCCCCATGTTCAAGTCGACTTACTAGGGATTCTACGATTGACCATCCATCACATTTGCCGAAGATGAGGAGTGGGTACAGTTTACTAACAAATGAACAAGCGGCGGTAGTCCAGCTCAAACGCTTCGGGAGATCTTATTGCTTAAGTTCAACCTCGTCCAAGTAGGGCCTTCTCGGATTTTTGGTGGAACACGAGAGGAGTTAAGCTCTGGAAACCCCTACGTGTAGATGTCGCAGTCAACGCGAAAGTCAACTATCCACAGCTCGAATGCAACGCTTTTAATACGAAAGAAAAACAAGGCAAAGTTTGCTTTTGTATGACACCGTTGAAAACCTCTTGCTAAGAAAATTCAGGAAAATTTCGAGACTCTGGGACGGAGAGTTCTTCCGTATTCACGTTATAGCCCTGACCTCGTGGCAAATAATGCCCTTCTGCTCCCCTCTCCAAACCATCTCCTAGAGAAGAAAGCTCATCCTAACTATGATGATGTCAAAATCGACATCTGATCTTTCTTCGATCAGAATTCAGTAGAGTCCTACAAGGGAGGCATCGAGCAGCTACTAGTGTGTTGGCAACAGGTGTAG